GTAATCCTAAAAGATTAAGTGTGCATTTGTCAAATTTAAACTAAGCTAAAATAGAAAATGCAAATATAATAATAAAGTTAAAGAATATGAAAAGCAAAGTAGTAAGTAAACCAAACATTCTGAATGCATCGTGACAGTGTGCAGAGCAGATGATGTTTATTGTGTCAATAATGTCTCTTTCACTTCTTAGGACCCTGAGGGTCTTTGGACTTTGCTTCGCAAATATGAGAGCGAACTTCACAGACCCAGTTTCCACAACCTGCATGAAGTTTTGCAGTCACGTGGACCAGTGCACGCCAGCAGAGGCACCGGCGCAGTGAACGCTAACACTGTAATGACAAATTACTTCCACACTTACACATTATCAATCACAAATCAAGCTTTTAGATCCTTCGCCATATTAGATCCTTTGTGTTTCATGATTGTTTAGAAAATCATTTATGCACTAGATCTTCAGCAAGGCTTCACTTTTGCTGTTAACAGATGATGCCTACAATCTACTGTATGCAGAGATCTGAAGAAACTACACTCTTAAAAATAAAGGTTTCACAAGGGGGTTTTCACAGCGATACCATAAAAGAACCATTTTTGGTTCCCCAAAGAACCTTTCAGTGAACAGTTCTGAAACAGAACAATTTTTTTAGTGTGAAGAACATTTTAATAATCTAAAGAACTAAAGAATCAATAAGGAACCTTTTGTGCAATAGAAAGGTTCCATGGATGTTAAAGGTTCTGGAATCATCAGTGCCAATATATATATTTTTAAGTGTATGCAATGATCTGCAGAACCTATAGTGTAACATAAAGAACTTTTATAATATCCAGAAAACCTTGTCGCCAACTCAAGAACCCTATCTAGTGAGAAATGGCTCTTGATACACAGAAAATTCAAGAAACCATTGAGGAACCTTCGCTTATAGAGGTTATCCAGATATTCAGTTGAAAGGAATACAAGGTGAGCAACTGTTTCCTGTGTCTCTGTTAGGAGAGAGAGAGGACTGAACAGGAACAGGAACAGGAACAGGAAGAGCTGTCAGATGGTGAAAAAGAAGAACTCTGCACTGGTGAATGACATTCATATGCCAGACCATTAATATAATGAAGCATTAAACAAGGATACGAGAAAGTTTTAACATTAAAACTAGTAAGATTAATCATATATACATGTACACAGCCCTTCAAAACATTGGGGTCGGTCGGATTTTGAAAGAAGTCTCTAATGCTTGCCAAGGCTGCATTTATTGAGAAAACAGTAATAATGTGAAATATTATCACAATTTAAAATAACCGTTTTCTATTTTAAATATATATATTAAAATGTAATTTATTCCTGTGATGCAAAGCTGAATTTTCAGCATCATTACTCCAGTCTTCAGTGACACATGATCCTTCAGAAATCATTCTAAAATGCTGATTTGCTGCTCAAGAAACAGTTCTTATTACTGTTAATGTTGAAAACAGTTGTGCTGCTTAATACAGTATTTTGTGATGAATGCATTTAATTTGTATTTTTGTGTTTGAAGGCTGTGGCATGGCTTTAGATCCAGAAGATACTCCATATTTAGAGATCCTGTGTGTCAGAGACCCAAGAGATGAAGAGAGCATGATGGAGACGAGGGATAGAGACAAAGAGAGAAGAGAGGGAGACATTAAGAGCAGAGGAGACCCTCAGGAGATCTCAGTGGAAAAACAAAACTCTCTGATCACACTGGCCTGGAGCAACCCAGCCCACGCAAAGAATTACATTCAGGTACATACACACAAACATATGCACTCTTTCTATCTTAAATCTGCTCAAATTGTTCATTCATACATAAAATGGCTTAATTCTACAGGAAGTGACCTCGGCTCAGGAAGTAGAGGCCGTCTCTATTGTAATGCAGGAGGATACAGCTGATAACACACACGTTCCTGACACAACTGTGAACAACTGTGACAGGAATGTGAACATTTACACACAGCAGGAGAACATAAGCTCCGTCTCACTGCAGCCAAGTGAACAATATGAAGAAATGCATTCAGATCACGCAGATGATGTGAAAGGAAAGACACAGATCCAAGATGACCGTTCAGGCTTCATCACAGTAAGACAACCACTTCAAATTATCCAGCTCTAGCTTCCCTTTTGACAGCATAATAAAGTGTCTCCGTGTTCTCTGCTATTTGCATACTATTAGTAATATATAATATGTGAGATTAGGAATTGTTAGGTCAGAGGTACTCAACCTTTTTCAGATAACTTTTTTGGTTATCTGAACTTCTGTAATATAAAATACTTGATGTTCCTCCGAGATGATAATAATGCACTGAACTTTCAAAAGATATGAATTACTTTGAGATATTTATATTAGTATTTCTTTTTATAAAATAGTATTTTCTTATTTTATTTTATTTGCATGCTTATCACAATCTCACAAACCCCCTGAAGTTTCCACTAAGAGTTCTATAATAGTTATAATAATTATTAAAATAAAAAATACCATAAATAATATAAATAATATAAATAATATCAGATCAGAGGTTCTCAACCTTTTTTGTTGTCTGAATTCCTGTGATATAAAATATGTACTTGAAGTGCCCCTGAGATGCTAATAAAGCACTCAACTTTCAAAAGATATCAATTTCATTGTAGGTTTGTAAAAATATTTATATTAGTATTTTCTTTAAAATTATTATATATTTTTTTACAATGTCACAAGCCCCCTGAAGTTCCCCCTAAGGGGTTCTGTAAGTTATAATAATAATAAAAAAAAAAAATAATAATAATAACAATAATTGTCAGTTCTATAGCACCCTGCCCAAACCCAAAATTTAAAGCTGGAACTAAATGAATGAGTTAATGAAAAATCCTTTCACAATAATTATACAACAAATGTGATTCTCATTCTCCAGGCTGGGCAGCAACAGGAGGACATAAGAGATGGAGAGTTCACATTCAGTGACACCCAACGGCCCGACCAAACACCACCCACTGCTCCAAGGCTGCTACAAAACACTGACACAACAGATACTAACACAGCACCAGCAAGTGTCCATTTCCCAGACACGCAACCCTCGCAAACATCTGAGACCCATGAGATGGAGGCATCGCTTCAGGAGCTGAGGAACGAGGAGATCTGTGAGAGAGCAGGTGAGCGGGAGGCAATGATGCGCTGCCTAGTGGACATCCAGAGGAGAGCAGAGCGACGCTGGCAACGAGACCGAGACAGACAACTACTCAGAGTGAGCCAACTCATGCTGCATGACATTTCTGTGCCATCTTCAAAACGTGTGGTGTGTTTATGGAAGCCCACTGCCACACGCACACAAAAAAAAACATGCTTTGCTAAATAATAATGACAAAAACGTACAATTAACGATATAAAAAGTTAAAAAAAAAAAGTCGACATGAGAAGTCATAATTATGAAGTGAAACGTAAAAATGTTGAGAATTGAAGTTGCAAATGACAAAGCTGAAATTATGAGAAAAAAGTTGAAATTCCTGTTATGACTTGTCATCTCATAATTTTGATGTCATAATTATGACTTTTTATAATTGCTATATCTTAATTTTGACTAATTGCTATTATCTCATAATATCACTTATAATACTTAGTATGTATTAATTTGGACTTTTTAATCGTAATTATGACTTAATATCTCATAATGTCTACTTTTTATGTCATCATTACGATTTACCAGTGCATGCTTGTTGGAAATGGTCTTCCATGCATATTTGCAGAATATTTAGTTAAAAAGGCCATATACTTTGCTTTCGGACCTTTTTCAAACCTGTTCAGGTTCAAGAGCGACTGGCTATCGTCCAGAGTCGGAAGGCAGATGAAGATCTGTTGGGTCTGACGCAGGAAGACACACTCAGACATCTGACCGACACACTACGACAGGTACACACCCTCATACTTTCAGAGACCTCTATGTGGACATGATGTAAATGCTGATCGAATGTTCTAGGAGGACGAGCAACAACAGAAAACTTTAGTAAGAGAGAAACTCCAGCAGATGAGGAGAGAACGCTCCTGCATTCTCCAGACCAGACGGGAGAGGTAACGTATACACACTTATGCTAGGCTAGTTCATTCTGACAGTGATCACCAGGTGTTTCATGTCATTTAAAGGAGTACTTCACCCTAAAATTTCAATTCCATCATCATTTATTCATCCTGATGTCATACGCCAAGTCGTGTGTTTTTGTGGCTCATTTTGGTGCTTGAAATCTATGGAAACCCATTTTGCTTTGGTAAATCATAATTGACATAAAAGTCATAATTATAAGATAAAAGTCATAATTTACATACTAAGTAAAAATTATGATAAAAGTTGAAATTAAGACAAAATGTCAAACTGACAAGTCAAAATAGACAAATCATAATTATGAGATAAAAATCTAAATTATGTCGAAAATTAAGTCGAAAGTGACAGGAAGTTGAAATTATGAGATAAAAAGTCAAAATTATTATAAATCAAAATAAGATAAAAAAGTGGAAATTTACATATCATATAATCATATTTATCACATATATAAATGATCATATTTATGAGATAAACTGTCAAAACGACCTGTCATAATGAGATAGTCATAAATAGAAAGATTTTTCTTTATATCATAATTATAATTTGTACCATTTTTATCTCATTATTATTACTTGGTATCTTTCAATTTCGACCTTTTATGCCATAATTTGATTTACCAAAGCATCATCTTTAACATGACAGAAATAGGCTTCTGTATGAAACAACCTGTGGTGATTGAAAAAGAGCAGCATCAATAATCTGCTAAATTTCTCCATTTGTGGAGAAAGAAAATCATAAGTTTGAATCTAAGTAAGAGTCTTTTCAGAAAAAAAATGAAAGTTGCACTCGTCTAACAATGTTTTGTTTTTATAGAAATACGGCTGGGTTTAAAGAGCTCCTTGCGCCCACAGCTCAACACATGACAGAAACTGAAGAAGGACGCTAGTGCGTACTCAACCCCATTTCTACAAATATACAGCACACAGTCAAAACAGTCATCCACTTTATTGATGTATGAGCACAAAAGTAGCTGTGTTTGAACGATAGCAACTTGTATTCGCGTTTCAAACACTTCCCTAGTTGCCAATGATAAATGCCGCCCCCTATAGGTTTATAATAGTGCTTACAATGCATGCACACATTGGCTGCTGATCTTTTAAGAAGACTGTGGTGTTTCTTTGGCAAATAATAAGTTGCATGACTCATATACCTTTATCATAGACAGTAAGCACATTAAAACACTTCTGGGTTTGGTTTGCTTTGCTTTGTATTAATCTCAGTAGAGAGTGTGTTGCCCACATGCATGCTATTCTGTCCTGCCATTGAATATAAACCAGCACAACAGTACAAGATGACTGACAGTGCCTGAATAACTGGCAAGTATATAATGAAACACGTTTGAACATTTTATTGAACTCCAGGAAGCTCCACAATGCCTCAGTCTTTAACAACTTTGTGCGTGCGTGTGTTAATTATAACTTAAACAACACAGTCTGTCTCCCCACAGACAGATATTTATATATTCAGAGAGCATATATACTGTGAAAGTCTACAATGGAAATGAAGTAGTAATGAATAAATTAAATTATTTTGCTTTGCCTTTAGTTATGCTTGTCTTTTCTTTTAAAACAGTGCATGAATGAGTGTATTTGTAGGTAAGATTGCAGTAAATAAATGTAATGTATGTCTATATATACTGCAAGTGTGTGTGTTTGGTTCACTATATGAAGAATGTGGAGGGCGGAGATTGAATCTGTCCGACAAAAGGGAATTGTAATACATCCCCAAAAAACTTGCAAAGAATTCTGGGACTACTGGTGGGCGCACTGCACCCCCGGACCATGCGGACCACCTTCTTCGTCGGAGCTGTCGTTGTATGCTTCACGGCGGTGACCACCAGATGATCCCTGGCTGATGTCAAAGTCCTGCAGATCAACTTCCTCCGCATCAGCTGAGATGACAGGAACCTCTGTACGCGACGGCAACAGATCCTCCAACTCCTGCGTGAACAAACACACAAGAAATGGGCACCTCGTCAGGTACACTCAAGTGTTATTTTAGTATCATCTAGGTACTATTATAGTTTGTATTAATTTTGATTTTTATATTTTAAATTTTCTTTGCAATTTCAGTTAAAGTTGTATTAATTTTTTGTTGGTTTTTTTCCACTTAAATTTTTTTTTTTTTAATGTGTCCATATGGTTTTTGTACATCAAGTTAAACTGAATGAAAACGAGAAATATTTTCTAGGCAATAAGATAAAAAATAAATAAATAAAATAAAATAAAAAAATATATATATATAGACATTATTTTCCACATACTGTACATTATTGTTTCTCCTCTATGCCCCGCCTTTCTGAAACACGTCGATTTTTACAACGCTCATCGGTCTGAAAAGCACGGTGTGCTCTGACTGGCCAGCTATCCAGTGCGTTATTATTGGCCAAATACCTCAAGCGTGTGACGGAAATGTTACGCCCCTCACCATACTGTGATGCCCTGTCCGGCCGGAGCGACGAGACAAAAACATGAAAACCCATTATAAACGAGGCATTCGTTGCATCCAGTGGGGACATAATTATGGATTATAATGACTTATACTGTCTTTTTACGCGTTGCGTTGCATCGCGCCGCGTAAACATAAAACCATGTCTGCATTTGTGATCGGAGAAATGACAAACAAGAAGCGCTACTCTACACTGCCCAAAAAGCTTTAAATATAAAAAATATAAAATATAAAAACTCTTTAAATATAAAAAACGTACTTACAGTCTGTGAGTCTGAACAGCCGGCATTGTAGTCTACTCTACCAGGATCAGGAAACAGTCCTCCATAAAATGTGCTGCACACATCTGAATATTTGGGTTGAACTGTTCTGGAACAGTGTTGTAAATACAACTTAACCACTGATTTCTGGTCGTGTCCTCTTTTGGAAGACCAAACAAAGTAGTTTCGCTTTCACAACGAAACACAGCGTATTCATAACATGGCGGCAGCAACAAAACTACAGCGAGAATAAAAGTTACGCCTTCTTTCTTTGCGTGAACATTTGGGTGGCGTTATGCAAATCTTCCCACATA